TAATCATCTTAGTTTATTCTACATAGAAAGTGTTGAGGGCTCAAAATGTGTTCGTCAGATATTGAACACACGAGGAGATAGTGTTCCTGGAAAATTAAGTGGCTTGACTAAGGTCTCATTGCAGCTGGTGGAAAAACTATGTTGGAAGCCAGGTGTCATGGTGCCAAGGAGGTCCGAGTTCCACACCTAACATTCCTGAGGAACCATCCTGTCCTCTCTGTCTGTCCAGGTCTCTGTGATTAGACTTTCTCCTTTGGACACCCCATTTTTCTATAATCACTGAAGATTGTAGTCTTAAATAGAAAACAAGATGCTATCACCTTGTCATAGTGCAGAAGTAAAAATTTAGAAGCAAATGCTATTTTAAATGAAACAGTGTAATTGTTTTTTAGTGATTCGATTTGAGAACTATGGTCAGGTTTTTGTGTGCAGGGGTCTTAACCTGGAGCTGTCTGGCAGCAGCCTCATCGGTATCCAGTTCACTCTTTCAAAGGGGCAGACTTGGACCTACATCTCCAACCTCCCCCACACCCCTGCCCATGGTAATCACCACTCTGCCCTGTTTCTATGAGTTCTACTTTTTGCAGTTTCCACATGTAAGTGAGACCATGCAGCATTGTCTTTCTCCGTGAGTCTTCCAGTTTCATCTATGCTGTCGTAATGGTGGAGCCTCCTTCCTTTTTGTAGCCCAATAATATCCTATTGTGTGTGTGTGTGTATGTGTATACCATAGTTTATTCATCTACTCATTTGTCAACAGATACTTAGCATATTTCCATGTCTTAGCTACTGTAAATAGTGCTGCAATAAACAGGTGAGTGCAGATATCTCATTCTGCTACTGAATCTGTTCCTTTTCACCACAGGGTGAGGTGATAGATTATTCATTAACCTGATTGTGGTAATCATTTCATAAGATATATGAAGGGACTTCAAAATGTTTGTGGAAAGATGCAATTAAAGTACAAGTTTACTTTGGCATAAAATACTTGGAAATCCATGCAGTTTTCTTTTTTTAAAATTTATTTTTAATTTTTTTATTTCATTTTTTATACATTCAATTATCTTTTTTAGCTTACAAAGTGAATATTTCACTATGTGAACATTTCTCCCTAGTCAAGTTGGTTAAACTATAAAATGTCTTCAACAGATAATGTCACATTTCTTTGTGCCATTAATGCTTTGCCTCCCTATTTTTCTTCTAAATGTCCTTCCCCAGGCCCTGCTCTTCCACACACACTTTATCTGGTATTTACACCCATTTATTGTGTTTGTATACCCTTTAGTCAATCAGTTTCAGTCATAGAGTGCAGACACTTGCTATATATTAAGTGGGGGCAAACAATGTCTCTCCTTCATATCCTGGCTTGCCTCACTCACCGGTAAATCTTCCATATTCTTCCACTTTCTGTCAAAAGCCAGGGTTTTATTGTTTATTATGGCTGAATAGTATTCCATAGAGTATCTTAGTATTCATTTTCTACAAGCTTTCTGAAGGCCCTCCCCATACATTCATCAAATCATCACATTGCACACCTTAAACTATACAATCTTATTTGTTAATTATACCTTGATAAAGCTAAAAACTAAATAAATACCAGGGGTGGCCTATAGGCTTTCTCCATGGGGCAGTCTGACTCCACAGAACTACCTTCTACATACTGCGCATGTCATGTTCCTGCTGGAAGTGGCTCCCACTCTGCCCCTGCCCAGGAAGCCGATCCTCAGGAGATATCCTTATCACTGTGGAGAAGTGGAAGTGGCTTCTACAATGTTCAATGGCTTCTGGGACAACCTCCTACCCAGCCCCTCAGCCTAACTCATTTCTGAAGAGTGTCCTGATCTCTGCTTGGAGAGGAGAGTGAGGTGTGTTCCTCTGCCTCCTGCCCAGAAGCCCTCTCTTCTGCCTGACCAAGGTTGTGGTGTGGTGCCAGAGAGCTCTCCTTCCCATTTACAGAGCAAGCCACACCCTACTGGAAGAGAAAACCTACTCTCCACTTCCTTGGCACAACTGGGCTGTTCTAGGCTTTTCCTAAACAGATTACAAAGAAAAATCACCTGGAACAAGATTGAAAATAGGGGACAGAACCAAAATATACAAAATAAAATAAGATATAGAAGTAAAATCTATGATAGTTTCTTACATGGACCTATTCTTTTTCTAGTCTTGTTGCTCAGACATGAATTTAAAAGATTTTTTAAGGACTGGCTTCATGGGCCAGTGGTAAAAGAAGCCAAATGCCACATGTATGCTGTTCAAATCCCAGATCTGGCAAATTAAAAACACACTAGGTGCTTGCATGTGTGTGCATGTGTGTGTTTGCATGTGTGTGTGTGTCCAAAATCCTGACAGGATGGAGACATGAAGAAGGGATCGTGGTGTGACCATGTCCCATTGAGGGGCACTTTCTTTCTCTTTCTCTTTCTCTCTGTCTCTCTCTGGCAAACACACACATTCTCTAGTAATTAAAAAAGTCTTTTAAAAAATATGAACATAAACCTCTTTGTTATAAGACTAAAGAAAATGTCCCAAATAGGAAAAACCAAAAGCTTGGATTAAAGAAAGCAACGCTATTGGTTAGTTTTCTCCATTGGCTACATTGCCGATAATTTTTAATGCAAGGATCTAAGATGTATCAACTTTTAAAATCTCTTGTCTTTTCAAGTCCTGTTTCTGCAGTGACTCTGAGGCCACAGAGGAGCCCAGAGGGCACCCGTTTGGCTGACAGAGGGCACGATAGCCTTTTGCCCTGGATGTAAGCACTCTGATTTTCACACACAACCTACCCTACAGGAACTCATGCAACCCTCTGCCTCACACAGACACTTCACATCTGCAACAGCTGTGCTTTTCATCTCTTTCTGTTCTTGCTTTTTCTTCTAATCTTGGAGGTAGACTTGTCTGTTTGGAACCTGACATCTGTGCTTTGACATCTAGGAGCATGAAGGAGATTCGAAGCTTTGATACCATGGCCTTCAAGGAGATGAGGTTATGTTTTGATAAAAATGAAGATTTTAAGATTTGGAAGCTTTGTTTATCTGTCAGGGCTCCAACTTATAAACAATGTCACTGTCAATAGATATGTTCAAGTCTCAGGAAGCACACTTTACAAATTCTGGGTCATTTACCTTCCCATGGCGTCCTCAGTGTTCCCAGAACCTTTGTTGCTCTTAGCAAGCCTTAAGGAAAACCACTTCCTCTGGGTGCCTGGCCCTGGCTCTTGTTGTTATGGTCTTTCCAGTTGCCTTTTATTGGCTCCAGCCATTAGTCTCGGTCCCACTGTCTGCCTGTCCCTGTACCTGCTCCTTACAAACATGACCTTGCCCAATATCTTCCAATATCTCCTTAGGAGTGAGGAATAGAGATGAGAAAATACTTAGCTTATTTATTTATTTATTTATTTATTTATTTATTTATTTAGTTTTAGTTTTGGACTTCCAGTAGATCTAAGTACTTCATTCAAGGAGAACTTCAGCTTTATTTTCCCTTTTAGCCAAATGTTTCAAATGTCAAAATGTCTTTTCACAGAGCTCAGACCACCTCATATCTTATCCTTGGAGCCATTTCCGTGTCTGAGAGAAGCCCTACCCCACTCAGTATTGACAGCCTTCTCTTTGAAAGTGATATGCTTCTGACTTCCTGAGAGACCTTAACTTTCTCTCATTGTCTTTTTTGACTGATCATCCTACAGCTTGATCACTGGAATACTGGATGCAAAAAGGTTCTGTTTATCATGGGCCCGCCTTTGTCCCATGCAGAAGGGATGTCAGTGCTGATGATAAAAGCTGGGGCTCTGGAGTCAACATGCCAAGACAAAGCATGAAATTCTAACTCTATGACCATGGCAAATTAATGAATGGATCTGCTATGGTTTGGAGTCCCCCCAAAATTCATGTGTTGAGATTTAGTTGTGGTAGGATTAATAGGGTGAAGAGTGAATCTGACTATGGTGTTGAAAGGGGGAGCCTTTGGAGATGGTTAGGATTAAAATGATCAGGGTGGGTCCCTCAGGATTGATTCCTGGTGGATTTGTAAGGTGAAGGAATGAGACCAGAAAAAGACACATGAACACAGCTTTACCCTCTCTTATGTTCTGCCGTGTTATGTGCAGCCCTCACCACAGTTCCTAGACATTGGACTCCAAACTGTAAGCTGAATAACCCTCTATTTTCCTAAATTATCCAGACTCAGGTTGGGTGTTGTTTTTCTTCCTTTCTTTCTCTGTTCTCTCTTTTTTCTTTTTTTGCCTTTTTTCCTCTTTCATTTTTTTCTTTCATTTTTAGTTTTGCTATAGGGCATGTGTGCTTACCAGAGAGAGAGAGAGAGGAGGAGGGAGGGAAGGAGGGAGGGAGGGAGGGAGAGAGCG